AAAAAAAAAAAAAAAAAAAAAAAACGCCTAAGAGGAAACATGAACACAAAAAAGTTGGGCAGAGCACAGCAAGTGTTTTGCTCTGAGTATTTGCTACTCCTGAGGAGGAAAACTTTCAAAGGAATGAGAATGGTATTTTCAATGTATTCAAAAAATTAACTTTAATAACACAAAACTTTATATGAAATAAACACAAAAACAATACATACAAAACTTTTGTTTTGAAAATAAAGATAAAATAAAGCAGACCAAAAGAAGAGAGGTACATAAAATTCATCCTTAACAAAACTAGAAACTCTGAAATGCAAGAAAGAATGAAGAGGGTAAAAATGGTCAGAGAATTGGTAATCAATTATGACAGAAACAAAACAGTACTAATATCCAATGGGATTTTATTCTTCTTCTTAGAGAAGCACTGTTAATTTTGAAACAAAAGACCCAGAATAAAAAACAGTCAGCAATAACACATACACCAGAGTTGGGAATGTCTGGAATTTTTAGGTGTTATATTATCAAGAAGGAGGATAAAATTAGTAATGAACTTTACACTTTGACAAATTACATGCATGATATAATTACCAAATTACCAAGGTAGCCACTAAAACAATCTAAACAAAATACAGAACCTTTGAAATAGTAGATTGGGGGAAATACTCCTTATATTATTATGTGAACTAAAAAATTTTTTAAGATTCAAAATTTTTATACAGTTGATCTCTATATTTTAAAAGTATATAAACCCTTGCATATAGATATCAAGAGACATATACAAAAATATTTACAACATCATAACAGTAATGGCTGGATTTCCCATTCAGAATCATGAGCCAAATCATCTCTGTTCTTTATAAATAATCCAGTCTGTGGTGCTATGTTTTTACAGCAAAAAAATGGAATAAGACTCCTGCAATGAAATATTACCCTACTTGCAAAATGACTGAAATACCAACACTTGCTATACAGATGATCTTTAAAAAGATGGTTCTAGAGCTGGGGATATAGTTTAGTTGGTTGGGTGCTTGCCTTGCATGCACAGGCCCTGGGTTCAATCCCCAGTACCACCAAAAAGGGAAAAAAAAAATACAGTGGTTCTTGGGGGTGGGGTTATGACTCAGTGGTAGAGCACTTGCCTTGCATGTGTGGGGCACTGTGTTCAGTCTCTGGGCACCACATAAATTAAATAAATAAAATGAAGATATTGTGTCCATTTACAACTAAAAAATTTTTTTTGAAAAGGGCTGGGAATGTGACTCCATGGTTAAGCACCCCTGAGTTCAATCCCTGGTACCAAAAAAAAAACAAAGAGAAGAAGAAGAAAACATGGAGACAGGTTAAGAATCACAGACAATTATAATTCTTTAATATTGAATACAGAGCCACGCTCGGTGGCTCGGTGGCATACACCTGTAATCTGCTTGAGAGGCTGAGGCAGGAAGATTTCGAGTTCAAAGCCAGTCTCAGCAACTTATCGAGGTCCTAAGCAACTTAGAGAGGCTCTGTCTCTACATAAAATATAAAAAGAGGGTTGGGGATATGGCTCGGTGGTTAAGCACCCCGGATTCAATCCCCAGTACAAAAAAAAAAATTCATTATAGACAATGATGAAAAATTGAAATGTGGAAGCTGTAAAGTTCACACATATGAAGTCCTTCACAGGACTTCAGAATCAGAAAGGACCTTAGGGATCCTTTATTCCTGTGCCCTTATTGACTAGATAAAGAGATTAACAGAGGGGCTTTGCTGCTTGCTAAGAAAGCTAATCAGTGAAAGTGCTGGGCTCCCTGCAGCAGTTATGATGGGAGAACATGGCCTAGTTGGGAGACTGTAAATACAATTACGACAGACAACTGCATGTATGACAAGACCTGGGATTAGCCAGATGGAAGGATATGTCTGGCTTGGACATTTAGGCAGACAGAGACTGCCATTCAGAGACTACATGAGCAGAAAGAGATGCTGTTGGAGGAACAATGACAATGTGAAGCAAGACGTTGGTTTCATCAGCCTAGGAAAACAGTGAAACCACAGCCATGGTGAAGTCCGGGAAAGGGACTGCGAAGCAGCAAGAGAAGAGGACAGCACTAACCTCAAGGGAGGGAAGGAAAGGAACCAATGAATGGGGTCTAGAAAAAAATAGAGAATTCAAGAGAAAAAGCGAAGGAGAAGGAAGTAACCAGTTTAACCAAAAGTGGCAAAGGATTTGTACCAAATAAAACAGGTGTAGGGAGGGGGTTGTGGCTCAGCAGTAGAGCGCTCTCCTCGCACGTGCAAGACCCTGCATTTCATCCTCAGCACCACATAAAAAAAATAAATAAGTGAAATAAAGGTATTGTGTCCAATTACAACTAAAATATAAATATTAAAAAATAAAAACGGGGGTGGGACACCATGAATATGGAAAGTTTTTATAAAGCCACTGATGACTTCTAATGTAGAGCAATAATGAACAGGAATCAATGAAGGCCTTCTCAAGAAGCTTGACCATAAACACAGAAGGAGGTTCAAGGACTTACGGACCCCCTTCCCCGTACACTCATTGTAGGAGACAAGTTAGAGGCTTCTGTATTTAAGATAAGAAGAACATGTTCATAACTGGATGGAAGCCAAGAGGAAATGCCCCAGAAAGGCAGGCAGAGCTGAGGGGCAGGGGTCAGCTTGGCTCAGAACTGGAAGGAAAAGGGAAGGACCAGACAGTGGGTGGGGGCTCATAGAACTTTGCTCAGGGGAAATCTGGGAAGTTGAAAGGCTCACACCCAATGGCATGTGAAAATAATGTCCCCAGAGAAGAGGAAAGAGAGGTGAGGGGATTATTGAAAGAATTTGAGAAGAGTCAGGAAAGCCTTAGCCAGAGTGGAAGCTTCCAAGGGTTTATTCAGTAAAGATAACCCTGTTTCTCCTGGGTATTCATTTTCAGACTTCTCACTATGTAAAAATGTTCATTTCAGTTGGAAAAGGACATTCTTCTGCCAACTTTTTTCTCCCTGGCAATTGAGTCTATTATAAAGTTTACAGAAATGTTCCCAATGATCCCAGAGGCAGATCTACAAACAAACAAACAAAAAAATGACATAATTGTCTCTAAATCTCAACAGAAATATGCCTACAAGTCATGCAGGTCCCTAAGCTCCTGGGTTAATGATCTCATGCAGCGACTGGATTTCTTCAATACCTGGGCCAAAGTGGCTTACACTGCAATACATCGTCGGTATGAATGAAAACTGCTTTGTTTCTTCCTTATTTTTGCTAGAGCTTAACAGTTTATGAACTAATTTCACATGCTTGGTCTTTGGGTTCTCAGAGTAACATGTGAATTAAGGAGTAGATGAATTCTTGTCTTCCATTTAGGATGAGAAAATGGGGATCTTGGGAGCTGAGAGTCCATTCAAGGTCCCTAAACTCTGAGACAGAGATAAGGACTAGCAGCCAGAACATTTTTTTCCATTATTCTACGAAGCGTCCTAAGAAACACATAGAGAGAAATATGAAGTGATATATGAAATATTTGGCTACATGTGATTTTTCCATGTATTTTTGGTCATAATAAAAGCAGTGTGAAGGCCTGAGACTAGCTACCATTGACCAAGGGACTCACAGAGTATCAAGTCTCTTTCCAAGAGTATTGCTGTTCCTAACACACCAAGTATCCTAGTAACCCCCATCATCCTATTTCAGAGATGAGGAAGCTGAAGTGTATGAAGTAACTTTCCCAAGGTTTCACAAGTAGAAAATGGAAGTATTGAGGTTCGAACCCAGAAAATCTGGTACCAAAGTCTGTGCCAGGCTGCCTCTTAACCATTTAAGTATAAAGAAGTGTTAGAACAAATGCAAACACCAGACCACATCTCTGGGGATTCTTTTGGAGAAGTCTGTAACTCAGAAACAATTGATAAGACTCCAGAAGGCCCGGCCAGGTTCCCCACTGTAATAATGCCCTGTGTTACTCAATTCCATGGACTTCCAACCAAATCACTTGTCTTCCTTTTCCCCCTACCAGCTTCAAAGCATACTTGGTGCCCATTAAAGTATAGCACAAGAGTCCTGAGTGGGAGGGAATTGAGTGGGAGGAATGAAGCTGGGGATACAGCTCATTGGTAGAGTGCCTGCCTCGCATGCACAAGGGCCTGGGTTCAATCCCCAGCAGAGAGAAAGAGAGAGAGAGAGAAAGAGAAAGAAAGAAAAGTGAAAAGATGAGAGCCTGGAGGGACTGGAGGAAATTGCCCAGGTCACCTGCAGGTATGCAATTATTATGTCCTTATGCACCTCACCTGGTCTGCTTCTCAACAGGTACATGAGATTCATCACAACTTCAAATGAAACTGCTTTATCACCTAGTCAAAGCTTCACATACCTTCCTGAATCAGAGTCTGATTTCTTTGAAGGATTTCCTGCAAGATACTGGCTCCCAGCTTTCTTCTTCCCACAAGGTGAGCATTAGAAACCAGGATCAGCCCTACACTGGGCCCAATATCTCCACAACTCCTCACCCTCTTCACAAGAGGTTTAGACGACAGCACCTATGCCCTGGCAGGTACCAGGGCCTCTTCCCTCCTCTCTCACTTTCTTTCTTCATCAAAATAGGCTTACCTTTGTCAGATCTCACCTGTACCTTGGCAGGTCACTTTCTCATCTCTAGGCTATGATTCAGTGATGTCAAAGACCCTCCCTGAGACCACTATAACTTAGGAATTGATTCTGTGCTTCAGTTGTTTATTCATTTGTTGATAGATGGCTGAATGCTTGCTGGGACTGGGACCCCACCTGTTCAGCAGAAAAAATTGACCAGGATATTGTCAGATCAGGCGGGGCAGGCAGCTACCAAAGGAGGCAGATTTAAAAGGGCCGCTGAACAGGCTTTATTGAGATATCACTCCTGGACAGAACTTGATCAGACCCACAGAGGGGACAGGGGAAGGGTCTGAGGAGAAACCGTGTGGAAGCTCAACCGGACTGGACTTTTATGGGGCTTACAGCAGGAAGGGAAGGGCTTGGGACAGGAAAAGGTGTCTCTAGGGTCCCTTGCCCCCTTGGAGTTGGTCAGGGGAGTTGGCTGAACTACAGGATTGGCCAAGGAGTCCTGCTGATTGACAGGTGTTAGTCAGGAGATCTGGCTGATTGACAGGCATTTCCAAGGCATCTGATTGATGTTCTTTTCCAGCCGGGCTGCTTTGTTCTAAGTTGCCACTAAGTTGCCACCAAGTTGCCACTAACCTAACAGATATTGCTACAATGAGTGATCAGGGATGTACAGGAAGTTGTAAAGAAGCAGTAGTAGACTAGAAGCTTCAGGAGGACAGGAATGGGTCTGTTTTTATTGCTGTTATATCCATAGAACCTAATACTGTTACCGCTGTTTACCGGTGACAACTTGCTTCCCCGAATGCTGAAGTATAACACCAGAGAAGCATAGAGTGGAAAGCAGAAGGCTTTATTAAAGGACAGCTTCGACTTCTCCCCAAGGAAGAAGGGGACCCAAAAGGCAGAATCCCTGGAAGGGGGAGGTCTTCCTTTTTTAAAGCTAAGGTCTTCTTTCAGCTTTCCCACATTCAAGTCTTTGTTTCCCTTTATCTTGCAGGGATAGAATGCAGGTGGGAAGGCCCAAAAGGTGGGAGATAGGTGGGTGGAGGAGTAATCTGAGCAGGAAGGGCCTGGGGCAGCTTTTGATTAGCACTTCCCTGTTTGCTGGGAGCTGCTTCATTAACACTTCCTTAGGACGGGTACTAGGCCTTGGGGACATTAACATTTCAATTTCCCCAAGTGCTGCTCTGGTTTCCTGGACTCCATTCTTAATAATGGCCTCCATTTTCTTTATTTTATTCAATATTAGACCCCATTTACCTAACTACACTACCTATCTGTAAATCTGGCTTCAATACTCCCCCAGCAAAAAAAAAAAAATATACTCCCCCAGCCCCAGCGAAGTTCTCAATAAATATTTGCAGAATGACTAGATGTGTTTCTGAAGGAACATATGAACAAATCAATACTTTTGGAGTATGAAACATGGGTACTTTAATTCAGGGCCTGGAAGGAAATAAATGACTTTTAAAATGAGACTTGAAGGTTACTGCCAGTTAAGTGTTCTCCAGGTGGGGATGGAAGAAGAGGAGAATAATTAAAAGTACTTCCACAGTATTTATGGGGTGCCAGGCACTGTACCAAGAACTTAGTATAAATTAAGTCATCCAATTCTCGTGACAATCTTTGGAGTCTGTTACTATTATCATCCCTATTTTCAGATAGAGAAATCTTGGCCCATATGTTGTATGACTTTAGACAAATAAACAACAAAAATACTGATTAAGCTACGATTTGAACTTAGCCTGCCTGACTTAAAATGTCAAGTGTTCATCCATTGCCCAAAACTGAGAATAACATCTGTATTGGTGATTATTCTAGAGTCCAGAGGTAAGAGAGAGGAAAGCAAATTAGAAGAAACCAAATATTGATTATGATCAGAGCAAAAGACCCACAGAGGGAGAATGGTGTAGGATGAAGCTGGAAGGATGGGTCCAGGAACTCTAAAAGTTGATGCCACCCTGTGACCATGGGAGCTATTTAATGTGTTTCAGGCCAGAAGGGTCATGAACAATAGCTACAGGAAGGAAGAAGGGCAAGGGTGCACTGGAGGAGTACAAGGCCAGGTCCCAGCCATCCAGGGAGTCTGCTTTGCTCAGGGCAAGAACTCATGGTGCCCTGCAGTAGGGTGACGGTAGGGGAAGCAGAGAAGAAGTTGCGTAGACAGAAATTAGGAAAGAGAACCAACCAGACTCGGTGTTTGAAGTGATGGGGTGTAGGAGAGACAGATAGAGCAACTCTCAGGTCTCTGGCATAAACAGCGGAAATAAAGTGGGTGCGGAAATAAAGGACACAGGGAGAAGAGCTAACTGGGATTAAAATTATGGCCTTGTCAAGTTTGAGATGTGTTTGTTGGTTTTCCTGCTGCACATAGCCTTGCTCTGTGTGACCAGGGGTAAAATGACCACCATCCACTAAGCAACCACAGAGAAAAAAAGCGCCTTCCTCCTCCCAGTGTCCATATGTCATTTTCTGACAAAGATTCTGACACACTTAGTCTTGTCCTCACTCTGGCCCCATCTTTTTGCCAAGATGGCGTCAGAAGTGGATATAGGATCCAAAATTTATAACTCCCCTATTCCCACAAAAATATGGGGGAACAGGGGCTAGATCTACAGAAAAATCCACGATCACCTCCACCAGGAGGCGTATGCACTTGCCAGACTAATAGCACAAAGACCTAAGTGAGGTGAGTGCACAGGTCTTGCCCTTATCTCTCTTCCTTCCTGACTTAGCTTCTCCACTCTTCTATCTCCATGAGGGAATGGGTGTTGCCCACCCCTGAGGGAAGTCCAGAGACTCACAAGGAAATTGTTGGTATTTTTCTTCAAAGCCTTTCTTTCTGCTGTGCTTCAAGACTATGGAAGAGCCCAAGGAATCTCTATGGATGGCCTCACTTTTACCCACCATGTGACTTCTGACACCAGTGACATCAAAGATGAGGAGCTCTCCATAACTATCCAAAAGAAGCTCAACACAGTCAGGAGAGCCTTTAAGGTACTGACAGGATCGGAAAGGGTAGTTGTTCATTCCCTCAATGAACCTTTATTCAGTACTTACCACCTGCCAGGTAACCAGAGAGGCAGACAAATAAGGCACAGAGCTCTTCAAGTCCAAATGCCATCCAACTGCGCCCGGCAGCCCACTTATTCCAGAGCTCAGCCAGGTGGCAAGAAAAATCTCCTCCCACCCCCAACCAACACTCAGCAAACACAGTGAGGATGGCCAGGAAGACACCCAGGCTGGGAGCGGTGGCCATGCAGCCAGCCATATGCTCTGGGTAATCCCAGCCCTGCTGTGCTCTCACCACCCACTACTTGAACGCTTGTGCTTACTAAGTGCCAATCTGCTCTAGGAATCTACTACTCCAGGATCCACACTCAACCACATTAAAAATGAGCTTATCACATTTCATTGTTTTAAACAGCCTGTTAGGATTTTGAACAGTTTGCTCAAAATCAAGAAGGAATCGTTGTCTTTTAAATATCAGGGTTTTCCAACTAGAAACATAGTTGTTCCATTTGTTTAGGTCATTTACATCTTTCAGGAAATTTTGTTTTCTCCACATTGAAATTATCTTCAGGTTATTTTCTTAACAGTTTTCTTACAATTGTTGTTTTTTGTGAATAGGATTTGTAGTACTGTACAATTGGCTCTTTGTCATGAGTCTTGTACTTGGGGTTAGTCAAATTTGAGGTTAAAGGCACAGTCTACCCAAGACTTCTAACACCGATAGCTAGTTTAGGAGTTTCCCAAAACAAATTTCAGGTGTAATAATTTACTAGAAAGACTCACAAAACTTCCAGAAAGCTCTTTTGTGAAGTTCCTGTATGAGACTTTAGCCAACTTTTGATTGGCTAGTCTTTGTCATATTGACTTGTTGAAGTTCTTTATAGATTCTGGAATAAGCCTTTTGTCAGGTTAATATATAGAATTTATCTTCTCTTGGTATGTGACTTTCCTTTTTATTTAGTGTTGTCTTCTGCTGAACAAAAATTCTTTGTTGTAATGAAGTCTGCTATATCCATCTCCTTTTTAAGTCCTAAGAAATCTTCCCATCACAAGGTTACTAAAATCTTCTTTTATTATCTCTGGAAGTTGTATGACTTTACTTTTCATATTTATGCTTCTGGTCCACATTGAATTGAGTTGGTGTATTGTATGAGGTGGAGTCAAAGTTTTTTAGGTTGCATGGTAGTACCCAACTGACTCAGTCTCATTTTTCTTTTATTGAAATGATGATCCTTACCCCCACTTTAATTTTGTCGTAGATCAAATAAATGTCTATCCCTGGGCCTGTTTCTGAGTCACTAATATGTTTCACTGATGTGTCTGTCTTTGTGCCGCAGTTCTATTTTAATTATTGTTGCTTTACAGTATGTATTCATACGAAGTCCTCTAGCTTTGCTCTTCTTGACAGTTGTCATTTGATTTTTGGAGAATTGACATCTCAGCAATATTGAGACCTTTTTATAATACATTTATTTGTAGATAAACACAATATCTTTATTTTATTTTTTATTTTTATGTGGTGTGGGGGATCAAACCCAGTGCCTCACACATGCTAGGCAAGTGTTCTACCACTGAGCCACAACCCTGGCCCCAGCAATATTGAGACTTTTAATCTTAAATATTTAGTTATTCTTTTTATTTCTCTAGCTTATCATGTATTTAGTTCTTCAGTTTCTTTCTAGTACAATGTTCAATAACAAGGTGATAATGGACATTCTTGTCTTTTTCCTAAGACTCAGGGAATAGCCTTCACTATTCCACCATTAAGTATTATATCAATTATAGGCTTCTTTGTAGATTAAGAAGGTTGCCTCCTAGTCCTAGTTTGTCAAAAGGATTTTTTTTTTAAATCATAAGTAGGTATTGAATTTATTAAACACTTTTCCCATGTCTACTGAAATAATCAGCTGGTTTTTATCCTTTGTCCTATTAACATGGTAGATGATATAGATAGATGGATCTCGAGTTTATTTTGTTAAGATATAATTTCTAAATTAAGATTGTTTTAAATAAGAATGAAAGCTAAATGTAATAATAAAGGATCTTTTCGGTATCTCTGGAAATAATCACATGACTTTTTACCCTTATCAATGTGCTTAACTATATCCAAAGATTTACAGTGATAAAATCATCTTAATTGTAATATTTTATTCAAAATTTTGTACCAATATTTAAGATTAGCTTGTAGGATTCAGTAGTGGGGTGGGGTTGGGGGAACAGAGGGTATATTGTTTTGTTTAGGTTTTACTGTGTGCATTACCGGTTGTGATTTCCTGATTTCCTTAATCTAATTCTATCATCCATCTTTAGAGATCTCATAATTTCTGGTCTACTAGGACACATCTTGTTTCCAGTGCTGTTATGAGTGTGTCTAGGGATCTGGGGTCATGGGAGGAGGCCAGGGCTCATGCTGTTCGGTCTCCTGCTCCAGTCCTCGTCTTCCTTTTCTTGGCATGCATCAGACTGCACTTAGAAATGACTCAGAGAACATCTAGAGTGATTGCAGGTTGGAAACCTTTTCAGAAGGATAATATTGGGAGAATCCATTCTAGAAAAGACTTAGAAGAGAACTATTTAAAGGGGTGATGCATGAAGAACTAGACTCTAAATCTACTAGAACTCCAAAGGAGTGCCAGCCACAGAGGCTTCCAGGGGGACTCACTGAGCATCAGGATATCCACTTGATCCAAATTGCCCATGGTGGTTAGCACAGCTTCCATTTGTAGACAGTAAGTGCCCTGTTCCTGGAAGTTTAGGAAAAACAAAGTGACCACTAGGCAAGGATACCAAAGTGAAAGAAATTTAAAGTTCAGATGTGTTTTGGACTTGAAATTTGTCCAATTGTTTATCAATTCATTCACTCAAAAATATGTGTGCAAACCTGTGCTAGCTGTTGGAAATGAAAGATGAACAACACAAAGCCACTGGCCTCCAGAAGGTCACAGCCTACCTGACCTGTCATGATGGCACCAAGGCCCCTTACCAACCTGCACTCAGCATTTATCGTGTGTCAGAGACGCACAGGCTCTTTACCTGCATTATTTATGAAAAATTGTCAGTTTTATAGGCCAGAATTAAGGTTCAAAGAGCCCAGACATGGCTTTGACTCCAAGGCTAGCCTGCTCTTCAGCCTGTCCAACACCTTCCTACACAACCCAGCAGACACAAAGCTCAGGGAGGCAGGTTGCTCTGGGCCCTCTTCTCATGCCTCATAGGGACAAAGGGGGTGGGCTGCCCTTCCAAACTTGCTTTTTGTCTCTACCCATCTAATCAGATGTTCTGTTATTTCTGTTTATCCCATGAATCAGATTTGATTTAGGTAAATTTCCTTTCATTCATTTTGGTTAGCTCTTGTGAGAATTAAGTCACCTCATCATGGACTGTTTGCAAATTACTTACATATTACGTCTTTTCTTTGAAAAACCCATGCATTCCATGTCCAAATCACACAAGTATAAACAAAGTCAAATGCATGAGAGTCACTGCTCCCATGTTGTATATGAAAAGACAACGCTAGAGTCAACACAGTGTATGAAACTTAGCCTGTACGTTAAAGTCAAGTCACTACACAAAACAATTCCCAGTAAGTCTTTTATAGAATGTGCTTTATATGAATTCACCTTGCACCTTGAGGCAGGTCACATCCACAGAGTGGTTAGCTGAGTCACCAAGCACAGCACAGGCTGTTCCACACTTCATCTCTGTGCCAACAAGCTGGTCTGGGAGAGCTGTGTCCATCCATCTCCTCAGAGAACTGCCAGATCAAAGAAGGCTGAGGCCTCCTGGGCAGCTTAGTGCTCCACCACTCAGCACCTCAGGTGCAGCACACCTGGAGAAGAGCAGGTGGCTTCACCAGCCCCCAGGCACTCCTGGAATTGGAGCTGCTGGCAACTCCGGTTTTCTGCTTAACACCACTCATCAGAAATTCACTTCACCCTTTATTATTCATTTAATGATTTATTTAATTTCAATCAGATATGATACAGAACCTTCACTGCCTTTTAAATTTTCAGAGCCCTACTGAGTAATGTAGCCACCATGGTAGAGGTAGGTGACAAAGTTTGAGCCTTGTAAAACGAGCTCATTTTACAACTGTTCTTGATTTCTTCTAAGAAGCTCAGCTCAGGATTACAATTGTAGAAATATGGGGTTTTCCTGTCTGAAAATACTTGTCAATTCAGGATCAGCACTAGAAGGCAGACAAAAGCCTACAATTCTAAATGCTCAGAATGGGAGAAACTTGGGACAACACACCAGGGATGGTCCCACGCTGGGATGGCATCTCCTCAGGGAGCTCCTGTTAGGCTGGCAGCTTCTGCCTGGGAACCTGCTGACACCATCTCTCTTCCATCTCAGGGCTTGGATTCCTCTCATGAAGGAGTTCATATTTTTGGCTTATTCCTTGAGGGAGCACGATGGAATCATGAACAAAATATACTAGAAGACTCGCTGCCTCTTGAAATGTGTTGTGACTTTCCCGACATATACTTTATGCCAACAAAGGTAATCACCCAGCTGTTCATCAGGAAGTCCTGATCTTCTAAGCTCCCCCTCACTAAGACACAATCTCAAGAGGAAAATATGATAGCTTCAGACCTTGCACGTTTAAAATAGCCCCGAGATTGCTAAAATCTGAAACAGATGCTGTATTAATATTCAATGTTATTTCTCTGTACTACAAAGCCATGGGAATTCCTCTAAATTAAAGTCCTCACGTGCAAGTACATTAACTTACATATTCAATCCTTACCGTATCCCCTGGACTTCATGTAGGGAAAATGTGAGCTAACTGGTTTTGAACTATGCAATTTGATTACTGGATTTTTTCTCTTTCAAGATTTCTACTGAAACACCCAATGCTTCTAACCAGACAGATTCAGAACTCTATACTTTTGAATGTCCAATTTACCAGACACCTGAGAGGTCAAGAATTTTTAACACTGGTACTAGTCTACCAACAAACTTTCTGACATCAGTGTATTTACCAACGGCAAAACCTCCTAGTCACTGGATCACCATGCAGGTGGCATTGCTGTGTGAAAAGAATGAATGAAAAATAAACTTCCATACCAAACCATTTGAAGTTTTGACTCTTTATGCTGTCCAGACCCTCGAATGTCATCAACACCCTTCCTAATGATGAGTGGTCAGCCAGACTGGACAGGTGCGCAGTCTCTTTCATCTGTAGGTGAGGACATCATTATGTGGGGAAATCTTAGAGCTGCTTTTTGTTCTAAACTCATCAAGACCTAATGCTCGATGTCTGCAGCTTGGCTCTCGTGCAGGTCAGCATAACCTGGAACACAGCAGGTTTGACTTAAACCAGCAAAGTTATTAGGGCATATTTCTAAAAAGCTTTTAACTCAAGTTAGTGGTTTGTGTTTTATATAAAATGCAATACACCTCCTTTGGAATACTCTACACTACTGGCCTACAGACTTCTAAAACAAAATGGAATAGCCTTCCTTACTTAAAAGAAATGCAGCCTTGGTTCTGACCTCACTAAACTACAAAAACAAATCATGAGAATTCCATAAACAGGATTGATATATCTAAATGTGTTTCTATGGGAAGAATCTCCTTAACTGTACTCTATAATTGTAACTATCATTTTGGAACACTTTGGAACACTAACAAGAATTCCATTATAATCCTCAGACGCCCTGCTCTGTACCAGGTGGGCATGCCAGCCAAATTTGACAGCTTAATAACAGCCAGTGCTGAGACTAAACTCACCCAGGTTTGCATTTCTAAAAGGAAGGACAGCTATAATTCAAGGTTTCATTTTATTATCACTGGACTTTGGCAATGGACATACTCCAAGTCACACATGAAGATAACAATCCATTCTCTAACATAAGGAGGTGGAAGGGTGGGACTTATACCACAAATTGGACTCATAAACAGCCACAAAATGTTAATATGTACTTGCTTTCTGGTCTAGGAAACTATACTGTCTAAAAACAACAGTAGGAGCATAACTATAGAAAAGAACTAAGACAGTCCCTGTCTCTTAGGAACCAAGGAGAAAATGATAAAGTGTATAATTTTACCAAAAGATAGAAGGTGGGGTCTTATTAGTTGCAATTCATTTGCTAAAAGTTTTTTAAATTATCCAGGATTTGTTAAAAACAACCCATACTTTCTGGAAACCACCAATACACAAGGCCTTTTCTTCAAACAAACAGTACAAAATTAAAGACCTTCAAGATATGAATCCTGTGCTAGATTTTTAATCAGCACAGATTCTGACACACACACACCTTCTGCCACATTATGGGATGGCAGGAGGAGGAATGAAGAACTGACTCCGTCTGATTTCCTCACTGAGCTCAGCCTGAGTGCTGCATTATCAGCTGAAAACCCAAATGGGCATCAGGCACTGTCTTAGACATAAATGCCTCTTTCTTAAAGGATGTACTGTCTTTAAATAAACACAAATGCCTCTATGATTAATAGCTATTCATTTGAAGGTTATTATTGAATATGCAATAGTTTTTAGCATTTCTCAAACTGCAAATCCTAAATACACAACCATTTTCTGGGAGTTACCCACTCCCTCACCACTACCCTTTCAAGCTCTAACATTGTGACAGCTTCAATATAAACAGCAACTGGCCAAGGGACCCAGTTTGCCATTTGGATGCCCAGTGATCCAGGAAGGTCCCAGAGGAATAATCCTAGAAAGAGCAGTGGGCGGGGAGGGTTAGTGAAGGATTTGTCTTGGTGACAATAATCCCAAAGTTGCAGGCAAAAAAAAATTAAATAAGAATCAAAGTAATCAAAGCAACATTTTTATTTTCAATTTTATTTCCAACTTAAAACTTCATTATAAAGCTTGTCAAATAACATGTCAAAAGCAAAATTAAACCAAACTGTAGCTGATGTCCAAGCACTGATAACAAACCTTTTTCGTTGCCAGGAAAAGAACTGAATGTCCTCCATCCTCCCCCAAAACCTCCCTGTGATCCAGCCCAGAACCTGCTAGAACACCACTTTCCAATACCAGGAGAAAAGCATAACTTAAAAAAAAAAAAAGGCAACAAAAAAATTTGCTTGCATACATCAGTACTGATAAAACACTGACAATTTCACCAAAGCAATGTTTATACATTACAGGTTGCAGAATGCTAGAGAAAACCAACTCCATGATCACATTAACATAAGCTAGGTTATAGATACTTCAAATTGCAGGGTAGGATGAACACTGCATATCTAAATGGCTCATATATATAATGTAGAATTAAAACCCAAACATACACTATAAGTATTACATTCCCCTATGTTTAAGATACTGAGAACAATTAGTTTTTAATACAAAAGTTTGGTGAATTTGCTACTGTTCCATTATAGGACAATTAATAATGAATGAGACTACATCAACTTCACTAGAATTTAAAGGTTAAATTTCCTTTATGCACATCTATTAAAAGAAGCAATTTTAAGTTAACGCCTTGTTTTCAGACAGTACTCCTTTCAAGGTTTTGTGGACATAAAGGACATGTGGACAAAATACAGTATAAACTGCATGAGCTAAACAGTAGCAAAATCACTGTTCAATTTAAATGAATAGTAGCAAAAACACTGTTGAATTTTAAAGTCAAAAAAATATATAAAAATAGTAGCCTTAAATGGCAAATTTTTGAACACCAATGTTTGTAAAAAAATGTTTAAATAGTAATGTTTCTCCAAAAATATATATTTATTCTATTTTTTCTATTTGTAAGAGTTTATAAAGGCAAACACACACCTGCAATTGAGGTAGCAAAGCCAAATTCACAAACTTTGGATTAAGAAAAAATACCTTTCCTATGTTTTAAGAGCATCTTCTATACAATATTAAATGAATTCTAATTGCTTCAAAATTTTTAATTCACATGTATTATTTTACAAAACTTAATTTAAAATACTGAAAATGTTTGTTAAAAAGCTACTTTAGTCCTGACAATTATCTCACATTCAAAATACTGTACAGAAAAATCTGAAGTCACCATATATTACATAAAAATAAGCTATGTATGTACATTTTCAAATGCAGTTTCAGAAGTTGAAGTTAAGCCAACTGCTACCAATGGGCCTCTTTAAACAGTGTATGCTCCTAGCCTGCCATCACTCTCCATGTACAGTGAATTCCTTTAAAAATCACATAACTTGTAAATGATTTAAAGAGAAGCAAATGAAATTGTTTTCTTAATGCAATGAAACACAAATGTATTCTAAATGGAACAGTGTTTTCACTTAAGAAAAACCAACTGGCAAAAGGGAAAAAAAAAAATCAAAATTTGGAATTAAAAACTACAAATATCAATAGTATTCTTTTCAGTGCATTTAAGACTTGCTTTGTTGTGTTTTTTTTTTTCAAATTTTTAAGGATTGAAAATTTCCTATTAAAAGCAAATTCTAACATTGTTATTTGTATAGTTCCTGACATTGTTATTAATTTAATAAAAATACACATGGCTATATTAACAGACATACTACTTGGCTCTAGAGTCCTGACTCAAAACTTACAGATCCTGTCAGTGCAATGAGAGTTTGGATTTTTTTTCCCCCTGTTTTCACAAATGGAAGCCTAAACAATGGGAGCATTTTTAATCACCAGAACAGAATCAGTAAATGTACGGGAAGATGCGGTAGGGCACACGCTGGCAGTATTTCTCCCACGCCAGGCCATACTTCTTCTTACACTGGTGCTCATCGCGTGCTTCTCGGTGGACAAGCAAAATGGTGAAGTAAATCACATAGAAATAAGGCAGGATGTGATTAAAACCTGTGGAAAATAACAGTCAAAAGCAATGGACATTTTTATTTTCCCTACACTGCAGTTTTTCCTGCCTTTCCTCAAATTCTCTAAGAATCACAGTTTTCCAGAATCTATGTACTCTGTGTAGAAAAAAATCAGGCACAGTTTAAAACTCAAAATTTTTTATTTGTAGAAGTTCAAAGTAAAACTTCAGGCTCTGTGGATCCCAATTCCCCACAGAAACAGGGTAAATAAGTTGTTGCATAAACAAAAAATCAGAACCCAGCTCAGGAGGAACTCAGCTGAGGCAATCCCAACCCACCACTGTCAACAGAAGACTCACACTGACCCCTGCCCACTCTGTCCCAACTAAAGACACACACACACATCTTTCAATGGGCTGAAATGCTTACCACAAGGCAGGGACCATGCCAGGGCCATGATGAGATCACCCAAGTAATTGGGGTGGCGAACAAAACCCCACCATCCAGAAACTAGAAGATTTTTTCCCGTAGAAGTATGAATGGTTTTTAAATCTATATAAAAACAAAAATACATTTTTAATGATCTCTAAAAAAAATAAAATAAAAAATAAAAAACATATAAAATCTTCATTTAATATACATCATACAAATATAAACTACTACTTACGAGCAAGCTTTGGATTAGTGGGATTTTTCCGGAATTCATTCTTCTGAGAATTTGCACACCGGAAGATTACATATCCACAAACTGTAATTTTAAAATAGTTTTTTGTTAATTTAGATATAACCTAATACATAAAATTATCTGTAATTTCTCTCAGAAATTATTTCAAGGCTCTGAGGAAATGTTCAAAGCAGAGAACATTCTGATTTTTAAAAACAATTTGAAAACTCAAGCCCAGAATGTCAAAAAGCAACTCTTCAGAAATCTCTCTCATTATATACCTTAAAGGCAAAATTCAATCACATCCCCAAACAAAATAAAATCTAAGAAAGCCCACGACAATAAAATCAGTGCTAGAATTTAGTGTTAAGTTTTGATACCTAACATGAACACTTTATTAATAAAATAAACACCAGCTTAGAACCAGTACCACTTCAAATCTATGTGGAATCCCACTGCAAACCTACAAGTTGGTAGCTTTATTTAAATTTCAAAATGTTGACATCAACAGGCCCTGACTTACCTATTGTACTGTTGGTCCTGAATAAATAGAAATACATCTATTCCATATTTTTATCTTAACTGTAAAATATATAATACTGCTTTGAATAACACACAGGCACACTTGATACAGATAACCAAACCAATGGTGAAACCAAATCTTTTTTTTTTTTTTTTTTTGGTAC